TTCACTAACTTCTTTCTTCTCAAAAGAAATAAAAGTTGTCTGTCACACGTAATGACAAGGCATCAATCAGTAAGTCAGGTTCTTTCCCCTAGTAAAGTAGCCAACAATCGCTATCGAATCTACTTTTCCATTGAAAGTAGATTCTCTCAGCCAACAGTAGGGACCCACTCTACACGAAGTCAGCATTTACCCTAGTAAAAGGAATTTACTTCCACTTTTCCACCAAAAGTAAGAGTGAAAGCATTCCACCCAAGTTAAAGTAGCCACAGGAGACAAAGGAGTAATCATTCCAAAAGATTCTCTCAGAAGAACCCTTACGCCTATATAAGGACTTCAGTCTTCACTAGCAAACCAAGCTTTGTTTCTAACAAAGACTCTCTACAAACTAGCATACACTATCCTTCCCTTCTCTTATATTGTATATCTGATCTTCATAATGATGCAAATGAAGATGCAAATTTCCATCCTTAGCAAGTTACACCCACTCGTTCAGTAAACTAGTGTTGTAAGTATTTTACTTTTATTTTCTGTATTGTAATTTCTTTATTTAGTGAATATAAAGAATTTACTTTTGGTAAAACTTATCCGTCTTTAATTCATCACCACTCCTTATATCTATTTACAGCTTGTGATTTTCCTCATGACTTCTTGTTTTTCCGCATCTTGTCATATTTTGGTATTAGAGTCATTTGACGCCCTGGATAGTTACTCATACAATTATATTTGAATCATCTTACTTATTTTAAATCTCTTTCATTTCGGTTCTATAAATTATTATTGAGGTTTGTCTCTACTGTGCATATCCCCTAACATACAACCCTCAGATTTGTTGTCTTCTTCCCACGAGTGCCTCTCACTAGGACTTATATATACACACACACACACACACACACACACACACACACTTAATGGGTATAACGGGGACGGGGCGGGGGTAACGGTAAGTTCATCCCCGCACGGATTTATACGGCTATCCCCATATACGTCCACCGTCCAATACATATAGTCCATCTTCAGTTCAAATGGGGCGGGTTGGACGAAGACCCGTTTTTCCCTGATCCACTGCCATCCCTACACACAACAAAGTAACTTGCCATAACATCATCACAATACCATTAAATAATAAGAAATTTCACTTCAGCTACCAACCAAATCACCATACCAATGCAAATGGTTTCAAGGTTTCAAACCCATCTAGCACACTGATGGAAACAATGTATGAAGTACATATCTATTTATATATGTATGTTCACACAGATAAGTGAAAGACCTAAAAAAAATCTTAAAATTATAAATAAACCTGAAAAAACATTTGAAGTACTAAAAACATAAGATGTACATATGAGAATCCAATGAACTTGAATCTGGTTTTGCAAAACATTGTACAAAAGAGACGGATATAGAACCTAGGCTTAATTTTAGATAGGTTTTTGGCTTTAATCAAGGTAGGTTAAGGGCAAGTTGGAACGGTCGATAGCTGTTTAATCTCATCTGACAGTCTAATGCCCTTGTACTTTTGTTTTTCTTTGCATTCTAGAAGCATCCTTCGGTTAGAAGTTCCCTTCCCTTTTCAAAAATTCCTAATGGGTTTACTCAGCAAACGTATAAAGTGGACTACAATTTAGTTGACCCTCTTCGTCTTCAAGCCCTAGCTCCAACTAATGCTCTCTTTGCTTAGGCAATTAGACAAAAACAATCTTTCTTCGTTTAAACCAGTCTCACTTGTACTTTGTTTTGTCCACATCATCCAAATCTAACACAGTCTCGCTTGTACTTTGTTTTGTCCACATCATCCAAATCTATCATTGAGAGCAACCAAACTTGTATCTAGTCAATGTTGAATTACCACACAACTACCGAAATAATACGCAAAAATGTGCACAACATGGCCAAAGACAAACACATGAGCAATCTATATAATAAGGGAGTTAGTTTTGTTTGTGTTGAGCTTTTCGCGGTTTAAATCGTTTGAAAATTATTGATTCGACTGTCCAAATTAGACTTTCATTCATTTTAAAACTCTAAGACTCTCATCTCTCATATAAATATTTTTCTATCTCATACTATTCCATAAACACCTAGCGAAGATATGACAAACAAATAAAGTAGCCCTATGTTCGAATCTGACAATATGATACCATAATCAAAAAGTACAATGACCTGAGCGACCAGACTTAACATAAATGTAGCCACTGGAGCTATTCTAAAAAGGGAGAAATTAGCACTACTTGGTGAAATAGGTTCAAAGGCAAATCCCTTATGGTACACCAGATCCGGCTCGATTATTGATATAGTGAATAAATCTATCATTTCTTGAAATCTCTCTTCTAATTCAAAATCGTGGTGTAATGTGTAGCCTCACTTGTTCCGGTCATGAAATAGATAAAATAAATCAAAAAATTTCTTCCTAAAAGCATTCAAGTACTCCTTGTCTTGTAAAGACTTTGTCTTTTTTTTTTTTAAAAAAAAGTAGTCAAGTAAGAAAAACCTTCTCCCCGTGAGATTCTCTTTAAATGAAGAATCCCATATGAGATTGCCTCTTAGCCTTGGACGATTCTGCTATTGATGTGAATATTTTTCTATCGTCTTCTTGTTCCCTATATGTTTATACCAATCCCGGCTAGATTAAAACCCCTTCTATGTATCCCTCTCTCTCTCTCTCTCTCTCTCTTAGCATTGTTTGTTTTGTCGATCCTAATTAAACTCTCATTCTATCTCTATGTCATACTCTCTCTCTCTCTCTCTCTCTCTCTCTCACACACAGCATTATTTGTCTTGACGATCCTAATTGGACTTCTTTACTCAAAATATTTGTATGATTTTATAGATGAGAAAATATTTAAATGTTAAAAAAAATTCTCAGGTTGTAGACATTCAAAACCAAGATAATCACCAATAAAAAAAATTCAAAGTCAAACTAATCACCAATAAAAAAATAACAAGTGATATCAATTGAACAAAAAAATAAAAAATAAAAAATAAAAATTCAAAGCCAAGACTAATACAAAATAACAATGATACCAATTGCATCAAAAAAAATTAAAAAAATTCAAAGTCATTTTAATTACCAATAAAAAAATAAAAATTACCAATAAAAAAATATGTGAAACCCATTTCACCAAAAAAAACAAGATTCAAAACCAACACATTTTTTTTTTCCTTATTTGCATCGATTTCCTTGCTAATATTCAGATTTTTTGGAATATTTGAATAGTACAAAATAGACATTGAAACGAAAAAAAAATATTGTACCAAACAAAAATAAAAATTCAAAGCCAACACTAATAAAAAATAACAGTGATACCAATTGCACAAAAAAAAAACTAAAAAATTTAAAGTCAAACTAATTTCCAATAAAAAAATAACACTGACCAATAGAAAAAATAAGTGAAACCAATTGTACAAAAAAAAAAAAAAAACCAACTATATTTTTTTTCCCTTATTTACATCGTTTTCCCTTGCTAAATAGACATTGAAACTACAAAAATGTTAGTTAAATCATTTTTTTTTGAAGTGCTGAAATTTTGATTTTATTAATTTGGTTTAATTGTAGCGTCGCAATATTTCTATAACATCCGAGAAGTCACAGTGACAGAGAATTTAATTGAATTGTCCTCGTAGCTACAAGCAGATCTGCTGGACAATGTTAGTTCAGTTGAGCTTTTTTCTATTTTTTGGAAATTTGATTTGTAGTTTAATGTGACTGATTCGTTTGATTGAATTCAGTGATTGAATTGTGTGTTTTAAACAATCTATTCATTAAATTTAGCTATAGAGGTTGAAAAAATAAACACTCATTTAGTGGAAAGAAGAGCCATCATAAATAAATGTATGGAAGAATAATTTTGTAATGATGTTAGTTTAACTTCATGGAGATTCTCGAATTGTGTTATTGATATGATTTTTCTTCATTTCAACCCTTGCACTTCTTTTATTTAAAACATTCTTGGATGTCTCATTTGTTTGACTAATTTTTTGGTGTTAAGAGTGCCTTAGGCACAGGTAACGATTAGTTCATTACTAAACTAAAATCAAAAAATCAAACACATTTGATTGTTCTCTTTCTTTTCATTGACTGGTGACGACACACTTGCACTCTTTAAGATAATGAACCTAGCCAAATTAGTTTTATGCAAAAACTTATTCCACTAACTCAAAGAATAACCATTTTCTGAAGTAAAGTTGAATCAGTCAATGGAATACAACCTAGCAAAGGCTTACCAACCAAAGACAAAGCAAAAAGAAAAGAAATTAAGTTCCAAAAGAAATATGAATTTTCAGATCTCCAACTATTCTGGCACACAGAGTTACGTTCTCTAAGATGATTAACATGCCATGCTCACAGAGTCAGATTCAGAAATTGTGATTTCAAGTTTATCAGTTACTTTACATTATATGAATCAATCAAACACAAATCTGATAGAAACATAGGCATTGTGTGTGTTAGCACACGCACACGTGTTTCAATTGCTTTTGCTAGGATTCCACGATGCACACTAACTAAATATGAACATTTCCATTTCAGTAGCTTGCTGCAATAAGTTTCAACATAACCGACAAATACATTCTAATTTTCTCTTTTAAAAAATAGAACTCAGATGATGTGGGCCAAGGTTACTTGATTAATCCTCTGATTGAGCTATTTTAGCTGCAAATGTGCTAGTTTTCAATCAGGTAAATGAAGGCTTGATAAGTGACGATGATTTATTCTTTGGCTAAAAACTTCAAGGATTATTCAAGAGAAATCTTTTGGAATGCCTTCATATTTTTTATCACAGAAATAAACTAAACCCACCCCAACATAGCAATATCATGAAGAATGATATTATTTGGACCTAAAAATTTGACCTAATTTATAGTGCCTTCAGTAGAACCATTTGATCAATACTAAGTTTCAGGGGAACACTCCTGTGTGGTAAGTGACCAACCGCATGATATGCAGTTAAGTGGAACAACATCGTTTGGGTTGCTTTTTTGCAATTTTTTTTAATCTTCCTTACCAAAAACGACGTCGTTTTTGGTCCTTGAAATCACCTTCAGAAATCTCCCTTTTCTTTCTACAGCTTCTTCTTCGTCGAACTGGGACTACTTTTCCCGCCTTATTCTCAACTAATTCTCCCTCTTCTTCTTCGTCAAATGTAGTGAATGCCAAAAGCCAGGTAAGAGAAGGAGACTTGGATGGATATGGGGCTCTTAATGAATTCGAATTCTGTGTTTTAATGTTTAGGTTCAGTCCTGAGTTTGTCTTGGGCTGTCCAAGGGACCCATCTGTCCCAATTTCATTTGAAGTGTCCATCCTGATAAAGGAATTCAAAGTCGCTTTTTCCTATGCTGCTACAATGCCCTTTGTTTTCTTTTAAATGTATTATTCTTGAATTGGGATGCTTAGAGTTATGAAGATGAAAATCACTATAAGAATGTATTGGATTACTTTTCTCTAGTAGTGATTTTGTTTTAATCCTTAAAAAAAAAAACATAAACTGTATTCTAGTTCCATCTATGAATGCAAGTAGCCATAGATGATACATGCAACCTATTGTTTATTAACAAAGCAGGTATGCGGTTGCTGGTATGTGTTGGACTTAACTGATATATCTGGTTTGTAGGTGATTATAATTATCCGATGTTTATTTTCTATTTTTGTGGTCAATATTGTTCTAGTTTGATTTTTTTTTTTAATGTTATACATATATTATGTGTTTCATTCACCACATAATGTTATTTTAATTAAATTTCTTATTGTAGGATACTATGATGGATGATTTGGGAGTTAATGTGACAGAGAATAGATCTCATATTGGTATGCAATTTGATGCGGAGAAAGATGCTTATGTGTTTTACAATAATTATGGAGGGTTGTGAGAAAAGATTTTCAGAATAAAAGTTTGAAAGATGACTTTGTCATTTACAGAAAATATGTTTGTTGTAAACAAGGTCTAAGGGTTCGTCATAAAAGAGAATGACAAATAAGAAAACCTCAAGCAAAAACACAAACAAATTGCCAAGCTCATATGTGCATATCTCTTAATAATGAAATTGACAAATTTGTTGTGGTGAAATGGGATGACAACCACAACCATCCTTTGCCCCTTGTTGAATGTATGCATATGATGTCATCCTAATGGAAGGATAACGGAACACAAGACATTAATATTAATATGGTAACAGATTGTGCAATATCACTTAAGGCTTCCTATGAACTTTTAAGTACTTAGTCGGGAGAAAAAGAAAGTTTAGGTTTTAATCGTCTAGACCAAAAGAATTACCTTCGTGAAAGGAGGCAACGAGATTTGAGGTATAGTGAGGCGGGTAGTTTGTTGAAGTATTTTCAAATGGAAGCAGTTAAAAATCCATCATTCTATTATGGAGTGCAATTGGATGCAGATGAACATATTACTAATATTTTTTGGGGCGACCCAAGAATGATTATTGATTATGACAACTTTGGGGATATTATCTCATTTGACACTACTTTAAGAACGAACAAGGAGTATCGACTATTTGCTTGTTTTACTAGCTTCAACCATTTCAGGGAGACAATCATATTTGAAACTGCATTATTGTATGATGAAACAACAACATCATTTCAGTGCTTGTTTGAGACATTCCTATAAGCTATATCTAGAAAATATTTTATTACCATTTTCACCGACCAAGATTAAGCGATGGCCAAGGCTATTTCTCTAGTGATGCTAGAGACATACCATGGGTTATTTTGTTGGCACCTTTGCCAAAATGCTTTAAAACATTTGGAGAACATATATAAAGATGATTCACATTTTCTTGCTCGATTTAAAGAGTGTGTGTATGGATATGAAGAAGAGCATGAATTATTTGAGGCTTGGAAATCGTTGCTTGCAGAATATAATTTGCATGATAATATGTGAATGAAATCCACTTGGGCATTGCAAGAGAAATGGGGGTATGTGTATTTGAAAAGGACTTTCACTACAGGAATGAGAAGCACCCAACTGAGTGAGAGCTTGAATGCAGCCTTATGAAAAGTACTTAAAGCCAGACCATAACATTTTTCATGAATGGGGAATGCTTGGAGGATCAGCAGTTGTAAGCATGCTTGGGGGATACTAGTTGCTTGTTGGATTGGGAGATACTAGTTGCTTAGGGGATAGCAGTTGGAATGAAATTTTGTTGAAACCCATGTATTTTGTATTTTTAATGAATATGATCATGATGCGTGATTGTGATTATGCGCCATTTTTTTAATGAACGTGATCTTTTTTGATGAACATGATCTTTTTTTTTAAGTCAGAATAATATACAAAACCCACAATTTCATTCAAATTAAACGCACAAGTTCAATTAGAACACAAGTTTCATCAATACACCATTGCTCTTATATCTCTACTTCATTAGAATCATAAACATAAGCATCATCACTAGTAATGTGGCTACAAACATATATGACTTCATTGCTCATTCTTTTGCCTCAACACGTTGTACTATATTACAAAGTTCTTCAACTTTCAACTTCAATATCATTACATCTTCTTCAATTCGTCGTACATCTATCCTTTCATTTGTAATTTTCGAAGAAGGTAGAGTAGTATGAGTCATCCACTTAAAAAATTGACATCTTTCATTTGGACATTTGCAGTATATCTTCCCAGGATTTTTTGCAGATTCAAAAACTTTGCTAATTGCTCTTTTCTTACAATTGGTGCATTGCATATTGCGATATCTTAACTCGTCATTGCTTGTTGCCGTACTTGAATATGCCATTCTTCAACACTACGAACATGAAATGACAATGCATTAGTGCTGGTATAGCAGTGTTGGTATAGCAAAATGCATAAGTGCTCTGAAAATATAGGCTTATACATTAAAAACTACAGTTCATTCATTCATGGTATAAATTGCAGTGTTGGTATAAGGATCAAGCAATGGATGAAAGCTGTTGGACAGACACAGAATATTGCCAATCAATTGAGGTATTTGAACAAATTGCCTAATTACAAGTGTAGATTGGAAGGGGATTTTCACAAGTCAACCAAGATATCTCATGTTCAGCAATCAGCACCATTTATGAACTATAATGTTTGTAGTTTCACTGAGTATCATGACTTTGAGGCATCCTACAAGTATACATTGCCTAACTACCTTAGTAATAGTTACAACTTACAACACGCTTCTGTCACAATAAAATTACAGTTTTCATCATTATACCTTAGTGGAAGGGCAATTTCATCATCTTGCATGACAGTTTGCACTTTTCATTATAAAATCTTTTCGTGAAATATATACTGCGCTAATAGCTCGTTTGGGAAATTAGGTCTGGTATTAGAGAAATTCAATGAAGTTTTTGACCAGAGAAATTCAATTTTTGAGTGATTGAAATGTGAATCCATAGTGGTGAAAATACCCATCTGAATTTTCAATTTTCTTATTATGCATCAAATCCCATCGAAGTTAGCAATTTTGTTTCATTTAAACATATTCTACTCATAATGAACAAAATTTGGGTATTTTATGCGCAAAAGAAATCAAACCTATGATTATTGACGTTAGGGCTACGATTTGGGGGAAAATCTTCACTGAATCAAGGTTGAAAATAGTCTTTCTGGGCACAATCTTGGTCAATCTTCAAGGCTGGAACTTGGTCGATCTTCAAGGCAAAATCGATCTTCTTTATTGTCGATCTTCAAAGCTCTGTTGTTGAAGTCTAACAAAGAAGAGGGGTGCAGATCTTTTAGGCTGGAATTTCAAGGACCAGCCAAACGACGTCATTTTTGGTAAGGATGATTAAAAAAAAAATTGCAAGAAGCACCCCAAATGATGCTGTTCCACTTAACCGCATATCATGTGGTCACTTACCGTAGAGGAGCCGAATCCCTAAGTTTCAATGTTTGATGGACCCCACAATCAATTCAGATGTCATAATAAATTAGGTCAGTAAATTATGTTAGTAAATTAGGTCCCAATAACAAATTAGTCGGGGAAATTGATGTGAACTTACATAATAAGCTGTGGGGGAATTCATTGTAAAAGAAGGTATCAATCATTCTAGCCTTGTCTTAGGAAATACAATAAAGATTAACCTTCAATAGGAACCAAGCTAAACTAAATGATGGAATATCGGGTTGTTATTTGTATCAAACAGAAAACCTATTGACTACACAACCCTTATGCTCCGATATTTCAATTTTATGAGAAAATATATGCAACCGATTTTGTCACTCCCAATACTACATTAGTAATCAATTCAAAATCAATCCAAAATCCTATCAAATAAGTAAAAGAAAAGTTCAGCCAAACTTTGTTCTTTCTCATAGTCAAAATCAAGAGAATTGCAACTTGAATATAAAAATGCCTTTTTGGCTAAAATCCCAAAATTTTATTTAATCGCAACAAATCTAAAACAATCAAAATTAAGAAATCCCCAACTTCCAATACCATTTCTTGAATACTGGTTCAAAAGAAAATTGGATTGGTTACAATTCATACACCTACAATCAACAACAAACAATACAATAAATTGCTCAAATAATCAATAAGGGGATCAGGGAAGAGGCACAAAGAGAAAGGGGTTGTGTGCGGCAGTGTGCGACTGTTTGCCATATTGCTCAAGCAGTGACACCATGATTTTGAAGAAACCCATTGAAGCAACAACTAAAAAAAGCCACATATTTCAATCAACAAAATCACAAAGAGAGAGGAAGATCACTGTTCGAACTTGCTTTTTCGCAATTTATGCCGAGATGTAAATTTGGAACATCTGGTTGGTCGTTACAGATAGAGAGCGAGAAGAGGCATTGGCAGGAGAGAGAAAGAGAGGGGATGTTGGCAAGAAAGATAAACGACTGATGACTTGAATGGGGATGAGGAGAGAGAGTCTGCATGAGAGAGACGTATGAGAGATAAAGTAGTGTAGAATCCTGTGATGAGTGGCTTGTTCATGGGTGGGAAAACAAATTCAACTGTAGGTGAGAGAGAGAGATAAACGACTAATGAATTGAATAGGGATAAGGAGAGAACCAAAATGAGAGAGGCAAAGACGTATGAGAGATACAAGGAGCGTAGTAGAGTCCTCTATAAGAAGCTTTTTTCATGGGCAAGATTGTCAGATCAATAATTTTAAAGCAAACTTAGCCACGAAAAATTAAAGACAAAGTAAGGGTTTGAATTGCTACCTCCCTTATTATATAGATATAGATAGATGGGTAGATTGGAACGACATTGTTTAATACTGGCAAGGACTGCTAATTAACTTGTAATAGTAAATCACGAAACTCATTATTAAAATAAACATAATCACCAAAAAATTAGAGCGATTTTCTG